AAGCGCGGCAGCTCTTCGGCCGTTGTCAAGCGAGGAGGCGCGTCTCCCCATTGCACAGAGGGGGTAACTGAGGCGAACGCAGGCCTCAAGGTCGCGCCGCCAGTCAAGGTCGACTGGGGTCCCGCGCCCGGACCCTGCGCCTCCGCGAGCGGAAATGGGGATGACGCGTCCCCGAGACCGAGGAGCAGCCTTGCGTCCGCATTCCGTGCGGGCGACCACCGCGTCGCGTCCGACCAGGCAGTGTCAGGAAGGAGGTTGCCTTTGAGCATCGCTGTTTTCTCTAATGAGGTGGGACAGGAGCAGTCTCCGGTTTTGAGAGATTATGAAATACCTTCAAAATGCCCTACTTTCCTAAAATATCTTACACTCTGCTTGAGTCTTCTTCAGGAGGAAGCCATTAAAACAGGAGCCTGGCAAGGATCTTACCTGTGAAGATGGACTGTGCACGTTTTGCCCTCTTTCTTACTCTTTTCGAATCTCTGCTCCTGGTCCTTCCCCGCCCTCGCCCCGCCCAGCTCCCACCGTCCCCGCCTCGGGACTGAATTGTGCTTTGATTTCTGGGTGAAATATAAGCCACAATTTAAAAGCGAATTTCTTCAGGTAAAGACATTAATAATACTTTTATTAAAATACACTTGTAGGCCAGGCGTGGTGGCTCATGCCTGGTGCTTTAGGAGGCCAGGAAGCCAAGGCCGGGGAGGATCGCTTCAGCTTAGGAGTTTGACATCAGCCACCAGCCTGGGCATCTTAGACACCGTCTCTACAAAAAATAAAAAAATAAAAATTAGCTGGGCGTGGTGGCGCTCGCTACTCAGGAGGCTGGGCGGGGAGGATTGCTTGAGCCCGGAGGTCGAGGCTGTAGTGGGCAGTGATAGCATCACTGCATTCCAGCCAGAACGACAGAGTGTGACCCTGTCTCAAAAAATAAAATAGGCCGTGCGTGGTAGATCACGCCTGTAATCTCAGCACTTTGGGAGGCCGAGGTGGGAGGATCACCCGAGGTCAGGAGTTCGAGACCAGCCTGCACAACATGGTGAAACCCCATGTCTACTAAAAATACAAAATTAGCCGGGCATGATGGCGCGCACCTGTAGTCCCAGCTACCCCCTCGGGAGGCTGAGGCAGGAGAATCGCTGGAACCCAGGAGAAGGGAAGTTGCAGTGAGCAAAGATTGCGCCACTGCACTCCAGCCTGGGAGACAGAGACTCCGTCTCAAATAAACAAAAATATAAAGTAAAATGCACTTATGTGACTGGTGTTTTGTTCAGAAAACCTTACAAGGAAATTGATATATCCTGGGCTCTCACTTAAGTTGCAATATTAAGGATATTATTTAACGTTTCTTTTTGTTTTTTTGAGACAAGGTCTCACTCTCACCTAGGCTGGAAATGCAGTGGTGTGTTATTGGCTCACTGCAACCTCCCTTCTCTTGCTTGAGCGAGTGTCCCACTTTAGCCTCCTGAGTAGCTGGGACTACGGGCATGTACCCACACCCAGCTCATTTTGTTTGTGTGTGTATTGTAAAGATGGGGTTTCGCCACATTGCCCAGGCTGGTCTCAAACTCCTGGACTCAAGCGATCCGCTTGCCTCACCTTCCCCAAAGTGCTGGGATTATAGGCGTGAGCTGCTGCACCTGGATGTTATTTAATGTTTCTAAAACTCAGTTTCTTCATCTGCACAACCAGGATAGGGTTGTGGTGAGACAAAAATGAGAATTCATCTGATAGATGAAGTACAGTTTCTGGCCTCTTGCCACTGTTGTTAATAACTGTGAACCAACGTGTTAGAAATCTATTTATTCGAGATAGGGTCTCACTCTGTTGTTAGTCTGGAGTGCAGTGGTGCAATCCTAGCTCACTGTAACCTCGAACCCTTGGACTCAAGCAATTCTCCCTCCTCAGCCTCCCAAATGTCTGGGACTGAAGGCACAAGCCACTGTGCCAGCTAATTTAAAATTTTTTACAGAAACTGGTTCTGGCTGTGTTGTCAGGGCTGGTCTCAAACTCCAGGGCTTAAAGGATTCTCCCACCTTGGCCTCCCAAAATTACGGCATTACAGCTGTGAACCGCCATGCCCAGCCTGTGTTAGAAATTTAGAGTATGTTGTTTTGTTCTCACAACCATCCCATTATCCCCATTTTACAGATGTGTAAAGTAAGGCTCTGGCTTCCTGTTCAGAGTAATTGCTTATGAGTGTTAGCAAACCCAAACTGGAAGCTGCTTTTTTCCCCCCAATTCCACATCATTTGATGCTTTGTGATCTTAAGGAAGCCACCTGTCCTCATCTGACACTGAAAAAAATTGCCCAAGGCCTTCAGGCATAAATTCTTTCAATTTCTCTCTCCTCCATCCTAAAACCTAGAGCAGTTAGGAACTCCTCCTAAGAAGTAAATGAATGAGGCCAGGCGAGGTGGCTCATGCCTGTAATCCCAGCACTTTGGGAGGCAGAGGCGGGTGGGTCATTTGAGTTCAGGAGTTCAAGACCAGCTTGGACAACATAGTGAAACCCCATCTCTACTAAAAATACAAAAATTAGCTGGGCGGGGCTGGGTATGGTGGCTCACGCTGTAATTGCAGCACTTTGGGAGGCTGAGGTAAGTGGGTCACTTGAGGCCAGGAGTTCGAGACTAGCCTGGCCAACACAGGGAAAACCCATCTCTACTAAAAAGTACAAAAATTAGGGCCGGGCACAGTGGCTCACGCCTGTAATCCCAGCACTTTGGGAGACTGAGGCAGGCGGATCACGAGGTCAGGAGTTCAAGACCAGCCTGACCCACGTGGTGAAACCCTGTCTCTACTAAAAATACAAAAATTAGCCAGGCGTGGTGGTGTGCATCTGTAATCCCAGCTACTTGGGAGGCTGAGGAAGGAGAATCGCTTAAGCTTGGGAGGCGGAGGTTGCAGTGAGCCGAGATCGCACCACTGCCATTCCAGCCTGGGGGATGGGGTGAGATTCCATCTCAAAAAAAAAAAAGTAAATGAATGCAGGAATGAATAATAAAGTAAATAGGCTGGGTGCAGCCTGTAATGCCAGTGCTTTGGGAGGCCAAGGCAGGAGGATCGGTTGAGTCCAGGAGTTTGACACCAGCCTGGGCAACAGAGGGAAACCCTGCTTCTACAAAAAAATATATATCTTCTTTTATTTTTTATTTTTTATTTTTTATTTTTTGAGACGGAGTTTCGCTCTTGTTGACCAGGCTGGAGTGCAATGGCTTGATCTCGGCTCACCGCAGCCTCTGCCTGCTGGGTTCAAGCAATTCTCCTGCCTCAGCCTCACAAGTAGCTGGGATTATAGGCATGTGCCATCACTCCCAGCTAATTTTGTATTTTTAGTAGAGACGGGTTTCTCCATGTTGGTCAGGCTGGTCTCAAATTCCCAACCTCAGGTGATCTGCCCACCTCGACCTCCCAGAGGGTGGGGATTACAGGCGTGAGCCACCGTGCCTGGCCTATTTTTATTTATTTATTTATTTATTTATTTATTGAGACAGAGTGAGTTTTACTCTTGTAGCCCAGGCTGGAGTTCAATGAATGGCACGATCTTGGCTCACTGCAACCTCTACCTCCTGGGTTAAAGCAATTCTCCTGCCTCAGCCTCCCAAGTAGCTGGGATTACAGGCATGCACCACCATGCCTAGCTTATTTTGTGTTTTTAGTAGAGATGGGATTCATCATTTTGGTCAGGCTGGTCTTGAACTCCTGACCTCAGGTGATCCGCCTGCCTCAGCCTCCCAAAGTGCTGGGATTACAGGCATGAGCCACTGTGCCTGGTCAAAACATTTTTAAAAATAAAAATTAGCCAAGCGCAGTGGGGTGGCGCACACCTGTAGTCCCAGCTACTCAGGAGGCTGAGACGGGAGGATCACTTGAGCCCAGGAGGTTGAGGCTGCAGTGGGCTGTGATGGTGCCACTACACTCCAGCCCAGGTAGCAGAGCCAGACCCTGTCTCAAAAATAAGTACATCTGGCTGGGTGCAGTGGCTCATACCTGTAATCCCAGAACTTTGGGAGGCCAAGGCGGGTGGATCACTTGAGGTCAGAAGTTCGAGACCAGCCTGGCCAACATGGCGAAACCCTGTCTCTACTAAAAATACAAATATTAGCCCAGTGTGATGGTGGGCTCCTGTAGTCCCAGCTGCTCGGGAGGCTAAGGCAGGGGAATCGCTTGAACCTGGGAAGTGGAGATTGTAGTGAGCCAGAATTGCACCATTGCACTCCAGCCTGGGTGACAGACTGAGACTTCGTCTCAATATAAATAAAT